TTCGATAGAGAAGGCTAATGTTTTTTTTTGTTTTTTTTTAAACACGCTCCGATATTATCACGTTCGTTAAATTATTGCCATATATAAGATTTGTATCGTGATGAAAATGATTTTTTATTGCCAATAATCTAAACGTTGACAGCAGATAAGATATGCCATATTTAACTAACAACCTTGAAGCCACCGAACTTAAGATTGTGTTTTAATTGTCACAAATCTTTTTTTGATTAATCTAATTTAAGACAAAATGCGTCTTATGCTCGTCGGAGTAAGTAAGAAAATGAAACTGTTCTAAACACATCGTTTCGGTATTTTTATGTTGTATTCGATTGAGTCTTACTCGCTTCGGATAAGGCTTAAAATCCCACGTTATCCTGAACGTAATGTTTAATGTATTAGGGATTGCGGGTGGCATTCGATAGTATCTCGATACTAAGATTTGGTTCTCGATTTCCTTAATTACGGTTAATGGGTACGAGACTAGTACGGCACCCGTGTCGCCATGATTTTAAATGGAAATAACTATATTACTGTGACACGGATGTCGGAAATGTTTTTGTTTAGATTAAATTATAATAGTTAAGAGATAAATGATATGGAGCGGAATCATATAGGATGAAATTAAATGAAACTAAGTGAGACAGAATGCAAATGAAGTATCAATAAAATGGTGGTTATTCGATGAGACTTCAGTGGAAGTTTTGGAAGAACCCTTAGCGGTTAAGTCCAGCAGCTTTGTTTTTTTTTATAGCTTAGATGAGTGGACGAGTTCACGGCCCTCCTGATGTTAAAAGTGGTTACCGGTGCCCATAGACATCTATAACATATATTCCGCCCCCCACCTTTAAATATAAGTTCTAAGATCTCAGTATAGTTACATTCATATGTACATGTTACATTCATATGTATTTGTATTCATCACATATAGTTTGTGTCATTTTTAGACATTTCCGCATTTTAACAGACACCAAACAATTAATAAACCACCGTTATTACACGTTTAAAACTGAAGAAAGACTAAATTAGCAAAACATAACAAATCACACAGCTGCTCGCGTTCCCGCCAAAAAGTCATAACAGACGGATGACTTTTTGCTCGGAACGGATTAATAGGCATCTCCAAGTATCGAAAAATAATTAAAAAACGCAATTATTATGCAATTAATATTTAAAATGCATTATGTTCGAAGTCTGATTTTATTTTTTCATTATGGCGGGTATTCTGTGTAGCACAGACTATATCACTGAGTGTTGATAGCACAGCCAGTGGCAGTATGTGCATATTACGGGGACTGCCGCGGTAAAGTTATTGCATAGCATTTTTTATGAACTTATGCAATTATAATTAGACAATAATAATTTAATATTAAAACAATAATAAAATAAGACCACGCTATATTTATAAACATTAACAAAAGCAAAACATTAACTGTCCCCTTCACACTCATAAACTAGACCGCGCGAGAGAGAGATGGGCAGACTTTCATGATGCGCATGCAGTGCGACCTCACGCCGCGCGCTTATTCACAAACACTACACAAGCGCAACGTGTGAATGTGTTGAACGCGAGCTACATGGTAGGCGGAGTGGGGGATGTTAGGTTTTATTTTCGTTACGGAATATCTTGATTCGGTCACCGCGCTCAAAGCGCGCGATAAAAGCTATTCAATAGCTTAACAAGGACTCTTTGTTATGCGATCAACCACGACGTATACGACTTCAGATACAGTTTCGATTAATTAAAATAATATTATATCGTAATTTTCAAGAATAGGTTTATCGACCCTGACAAATATTTAAAATTTTATAGCATCAAAAAGATCGGAACTTGTTAAGTAGTGAGTTGAGTATGAGATTTAAATATCTAGATGTTTATTTGTTATTTTAAAAATAAAAATATTAAACGAATCAAATGTGTACTTGTTTAAAAATAAACATAAATATTGATAGGTACTTACGTATCTTTTTAGGTTAAAATAGCGCTATTTAGTCAAGCTGGGAAAGGGAAGCTTCCCCAAGTTTGACTAAATACCGCTATCCTAACCTAAAAACATTAACCATGGCGACATTTAAAACTGCCGGACGCACTGCGGTAGCGTTAAGACGTAAGTACCGAAGTATTTATAAAGTGAAACTTCTTTAGGCGCGTTGGGACTAAAATTTTACTCGCGACAGCTTCGTTACGGCTAGAGAGAAAAGATACAATTTAGGAAGAGCGAGAGTGAGAAAATAGACAGAGCGTCTCGCGTACCAATCGACCGTGGAGAGAGAGAAAGGACAAATCGAGCTAAGTCTTATACACAGCATTCCTTATTACAAGGGAAATTTAAGTATGAAAAAGGAAAAAAAGCAAAATACTACGTACCACAAAAGAAGTGGTTACTGGAGCCCATAGACATCTACAACGTAAATGCGCCACCCACCTTGAGATATAAGTTCTAAGGTCTCAGTTTAGTTACAACGGCTGCCGCGCCCTTCAAACCGAAACGCATTACTGCTTCACGGCAGAAATAGGCAGGGCGGTGGTACCTACCCGTGCGTACTCACAAGAGACTACCAGTCATTTTTTTTGTATTTTCGATAGTTAATTTTATCCAACCGATATCCGAGTTTCATGGTCACCCCTTCGATTTCTTTGAAACGCTTATGATTTCGCCGCGCGAGGTGAATTCTCATCGCTGACGACGACCCGCTCCGCTGTTAGCGTTAACGTCTAATTAAGATCTGTGCATAACTTCGGTCCGTGGGCCACTCGTTTTACGTATCGTCACGGCTGACTGGATTTTAAATTCGGTGGCTTTTTTTTTTATTACAAAACCTACGTGTTAACCGACCTCCATTTTTAAATAACGAAGGTCTAATACGCACAAGAACCGTAACGTCGCAAGTGACGCGATAAACAGGCGATAATTATTTAAATGTAATGCGATTAAAGGCTATGTTCTATCATGACATAATAGATAGGTATTACTAGAAATTTAATTGAAGTTTATAAAGTAAGACAGGAATACATGTCAGTACTTTTTCCAGTTTTTTTCCGAGTTACGCACCGTTATATTTTTTTATTTATTACACTTCATGTAAAATTTACATTGGCGGACTTAATTGAAGGCGGCTATAATCATCATCATACACTAAGAGGGTGTCGATTTATATTTTATTTCAATATAAAATTTTGCCTGCCTGCGGTACAACAACCTTTACAACAACATTACAAGTACCGTAAAATGGGGCGATTAGGGACAAATTCCAACTTTATGAGCAATTTTAAGGTAGTTGTTGATGTATAAAATGCTATATAAGGATCAAAATGATTGAGTCTTGGGGGCATCTTTGTTGTCTAATTTAAAATTATGCAACTAGCATTCCAGTTTAAGCAAAAAATGCAAAAATAGGTGTAATCCCTATTTACCCGAAAATTGCGGTTAATTGGGACGAAATGAGAAATTTGCTAGGGTTGGTACTACTTTTATTTTTATATATAGTTTTAATTAATTTATTTATTTAGTTGCACCAACAAAGTGATCATCAATAAAAATAAAAATAAATTGAAAAACTGACAAAAGTACATGGCAGACATCACCTCAATTATAGGTGCAATCGACAGTGCTGATATTTCTATCTGGGTTAAGAGATTAGGTGTGTCGGTTATTCCATGGATTAATCAGATGAATACCCCTACTCTGAACAAATATTAAATATTTTATTATGTATTACTTAGACATTTTTGTCCACCTTGAGATTTCATTGATCTTGTTACATGTCTCTGCAAAATCGACTTACTTATATTAAATTGCTTATCTATTTCAACTAAAGACTTATTCCCAATTT